AATTCGGTGGTTGGGCACAACCTGAATGACCAAAATGGATTGCCAGATGGAATTGGAGTAGTGGTCTCACAATCACTGCATCTCAGTGGCTACTTACTTAATCATGGGAGGAGAAGGCATGTTTTCCTGATAAATGTCCAGGTCCATAGTGCCAAGACTGCTAGTGGCACTACTGTTGCCATTGCTGATAAAGCAAAAGTTTACACATTAATGCCCGTCTCCACCCCCAGCCATGCTGCCACTGACACTGATGTTCCATTCTTGTGCCAGGTCCTTCCTTTGGTCCCCAGAAGAATATTGCTTTGTGTCTGGGACTCCTAAATTGATATTTATTTCTGACCAAATCAGGGGAAGACATAACAAGACTCAAATTTAACAGTCTAAGCCAATAATAATAATAATAAATAATAATTTGTAATTTCTGAAGTGCTGTCCCAACTGGTGGATCATATCTAGTGGGTAACAATCCGCACGCCTTTTTCTTCCTCATTCAGTTACAGTGAAGGTATTTATCTACTAGCAAGAGACTTCTTGCTGTTGGTACACCTGCAGAGATGAAGAAACTTCTGAAAATGCTGGCTTGGGAGATACCAGAATTCTTATCTACCTGTTTCTTGGATTTTGATAGAAACTAGTGGGCTCATGGTCTTCCTTTGCCATTGAGGGAATTTTTCTCAGGGACATTCCATAGGATTTCATAGCATGTGCATCTGGCTTGTTTTTCTGTGGGACTACAGAATTTACAAGTACGAAGATGGGTAATATCAAAGTTTTACCACGCCTTTATATTACGATCTTCAAGAGAGCAACACTTGATACCTTTGTATTGTAGAGAAGGAGGACTACATATGGCATCATTTTTGTAGGCTACACAATCAACATATGGTCTAGTTACTAGCCTGGAACTTACTCACTGAAACACAGTAGAGTTGAGACAACTTTTCGGGGCTTTATCTGTGCTGTAAAATGGAATGTACCCAACTTTACCAAACCCACTAAGTCTCCTCATACCTTCTCTATTTCCAAAGATATCTCTTCCAAGCAAGGTTTTCAAAGGTTGAGCAGTGGTGTGTATTGTAATGGGACAGTCTTCCCTTGAAAATAACATGAGGAATCAACTAGACTCCCTCAATGTTAAATTCTTGTCTTAGGTTTTGGGTGGGGCACTGAATATATTGCAGATTAAAACGTGATGACTCTAAATTGTACTGGAGATATTTAACTCTATAAACTTCTGCTGCTAAGTACAAAGATTCAAGTTTTCTTTGCTTTTTGTTTTTATCTTGTAACTTTTCCCACCAGTTTTTGGAATTTAAGACAAATTGTTTAACATTGTGAAATGTTCTTAAGTATACACAGACTGAACTGCCAGAGATAAAACTTTCAAAGAACCATACATACACCCAGATGATTCTGAATCTCATTTTCTAATTGGCCTCGTTGGATAGTCTATAGACTTGTTGGTCCAATATCAAAGAAACCTTTGGGCAGAAGCATAGAGATTCTTATATAAGTTCCACCTTACAGAGAAATAGTTTTTAGTTCATGTCTCCTGATTGGCTTGAGTCCTTCCAAATCTGATCTTTCCTAAGCTCCCCTCTAGCTTTTGCAGAGGAACAGTGCAGAGGCCAGGGAGATACAGGGGAGAAACAGCCAGGCCAAACGATACAACACGGTGTGGAAACACTTGCCTTGTGTACACCCAGCCTGTGTTGCATCTGAAATACAAATGAACCAGGAAGTATACAACACACCAGGTGTAATAGCAACTCTCCATTAAAAAATTCACCATTGTCATTGCTGAATGCACTAACTGTGGCTTGCAGAGAAGGGAAAACACAGCTAATTCTTAACCTTGGCCAAAGTAATTTAAGCCATAACTGAATGTTACGATATCTCTCAGCACAAATCACGACAGGTTGGGACCGTGACCTAGTGAAAGCTTTCCTTTTTGCGCACCATCTCCCTATTAGAGACCCTTTGCAGAGAACAACTAAAATGCATTTTTGGAATCTGTGTTAAGACCAATTTCCCTGGGAAGTCAAGTGAAGAGCAGGTACCTCAGGGATCTCTCACTGAGCTGCAGAAAGCTACTTGTGTCATCTGGGTTGTCATCCTCGTTGGCCAGCTGAGACCAGCTGCCTGTGCTCTCCTCGCTGCTGCTGGGAGGGTTGGGGAACTCTTCAGGGGCTCTGGCATCTGTAGAGACTTCAGCCTCTGGTACGTCTCTGGCATCAAGGCTGTGACTGTAGACGGCAAGACATTATTACCAAGAGGGGAGGCACAAAACGAGACTTTTCACCGAGGTCGCTCTGTTGAGCCCAGACAAGCAGGATGTTGTTGGACACGGGGGGAGTCTCTCTTTAGGCTGACTCTCTAAGTGCTTTCTTCCTTTGGTATTTCCGAAGTCCCTAAATTACAGGGAGCATAGTCACTGAGTGAGAATGACACATCCCCATAATGGCAACTATTTGACATTTCACATATTTCATGGGGATAACCCCAGGTGTCTACATGCAAAGGAAAAGCCACTCACACTTAATTCTATTGAAGTGATTACATTCTATAGTGAAGACTATGGAATAGTCTTCCTTGACTGGCATGGTACAATTTAAATGGATTTTTGCTTCTTTGTGTCCAAGTAGGTAAAATGACATACAGCTCTGATTATATTGATAAGCTTTATCTAAAATGATTATTCCACTATTGCAAGGATGTGGAAACAACCCAAATGCCCATCAATTCGTGAGTGGATTATTAAAATTTGGTATATGTATACAATGGAATAATACTCAATTATAAGAAACGACAGTGATCTAGCACCTCTTATCTTTTGCTGGATTGAACTTGAGCCCACTATCTGGAGTGAGGTATCACAAGATCGGAAAAATGGACTTCACTTGTACTCGCCATCAAATTGGTACTAACTGATCAACACTAGGGTGCTCACATGGCAGTAATACTCTTCGGGGATTAGGGGGATGGGCAGGGCATAAACTGGCAACTAAAGGTCACGGGGAGCATTGTAGAGGGGAAGGGCACGCCTCTAACCCTCGCTTGGGTGAGGCAAAGA